CAGTAGGAATACACAACAAAATAAATAATAATAATAATAATAATAATAATAATAATAATAATAATAGTAGTAGTAGTAGTAGTAGTAGTAGTAGTAGTAATTTCTTAAATTTATGTGCTGCCTGACTTCCAGTGACTTTGGGTGGTTCTTTTATCATTTTAGAAGGTTGTGGTATTGCAAAGTTTAAGGAATTCTGGTTTAGAACATTTAACTGATTTCACTTGATAGTACTTTTTTCTATTATTATATAACTTGAATACATGTTTGCATATTTCTAGTAATTTTTACTTCAATTTTTTTTAAAAAAAGTGTCTCCATTTACCTTTCTATTTATTAGGGGAAAAGTCGCTTTTACTTTTGTATTAATTAATATAACTAATACTAAGTGTGTGTCTTCCTTATGAAATATGTGAAATTCAGAATGGGAAAGTCAGTTTGAATCCTTGACTGAAATCTGCTTTCACAGTTTAAAATCCACACATTTGCTGAGCAAGTGATTATTCTAACTGGTTATTATAACAAGGCTAGTTTTCAATGGGTGGCTTTTAATTGATAATTTGATCATGGTTTCATTTTGTTAAACTGTTTTGCCCTAAAATTGGAAGCCAGCTTGCTAAAAGCAAATTTGTAAAGGAACAGAAAATGGTAACAAGGTTTTAAACTACAGTTTTAATTCCAAGGTTATGATTTCAACATTTGTACATGATCTCTCCTTGCAACCTGAGGTTTATGCATATGTATGTTGGTGTGTATACATACACCACACAGATGCACCAGGACAGCTACCCCAACCTATTAAACCCTATGCATGAAATATGCTATTACCTGAAACAGAATTTGCCAGATTATACAACTAAGACAAACAGGAAGTGAGACCAGTATTAATCACCTGGATAAGTCAAAAGATTTGTAGGCATTTGTTATAGCAATTTTGGCTTTGACCTTTAAAACTACAAACATATTCCAACTTTGAGTTTCAAAGACTAACAAAATCAAAGGTCCTTTTTGGCACAGATATTTAAAATGCAATGCCCTTAGGTGTGAGCTGTGCACTGAAAGTAAGAATTCCTGATAGAACAAGAAAAATGAGAAACCAAAATAGTGAATTTATTAAGAGAATTATGTTTGGCAACTGTGTCCAAGGAGCCAAGTCAGAAAAAAAGGCTAGTTAGCCCTTAGATTATTTTTTTATCTTACTTAAGGAAGAAAAACTACTTCACAGAGCTAATCATGCTAGAACTATTAGAAATAATATTCATTGTTTCTGCAGTATGATACTGAATGCATTATAGAAAATAAATTAATCTAAGCTATATTTTTTTTCTTTTACAGAGTTCTGAGAGAAAACAACAGAGCATTCCAGCAATCTCAGCCACCTTGAAGAAACATACATAACAGCAACCCAGCTTCCAAAATTTTGTTTGTGAGACAGAATCAGTGGTGGTTATATAAATGATGCTGTAATCAATAATATGACATAGATTCATACTGTACACAAAAGGGTTGGCTGGAGACAAAAAGGTTAGTTGTAGAAAAAGAATTTGGACGTCTACAGTACTTTGAATCTTTCCTCCCCCCCCTTTTTTTTTTTACAAAGAAGACAAAGTCGTCTCCTCCCCTATATTGCCAAAAGATGCCAGCCAAGACACCCATCTACTTGAAAGCTGACAACAATAAGAAAGGAAAGAAATTCAAGTTGAGGGACATTTTGTCTCCTGATATGATTAGCCCACCTTTGGGTGACTTCCGCCACACAATTCACATTGGGAAAGAAGGGCAACATGATGTGTTTGGAGACATCTCTTTTCTGAAAGGAAATTATGAGCTTCTACCTGGGAACGAGGGAGAAACAGCAGCCAGCCAATATGAAGGACGCAATGAGTTCCTAAGAGCAAACAGCACTTCTGACTCAGTGTTTATTGAAACCCCTTCTCCAGTCCTTAAAAATGCCATATCACTTCCTGCCATCGGTGGTTCTCAAGCCCTTATGTTGCCCTTGTTGTCACCAGTGACATTTAATTCAAAGCGGGACTCATTGGGGCCACTGAGGAATCCCAGGCATAGTTGTGAGCCCGTAATGGAAGAAAAGTTGCAGGAGAAGAGCAAACACTTGGAGAATGGGAATATATACAAAGATGACATCACATGGAAGCAAAAAGCCCCAGCATCATATTATACTAATGGAACAGACAGCCATTCATCTAGCCATTCAGAACAATACACTAAATGGCAAACAGAGGAGCTCGTTGACAGCCCCCATCTTTCATGTGATCAAACCAAGATGCAGCCTAATTCAGACGACCCTCTTTCAGACCTGGCAGAGCCTCTCCTTTCTTTGCAGCTTGACCTGGGGCCCTCACTTTTGGATGAGGTACTCAGTGTAATGGACAAAAACAAATCATAGAACTTGCTGCATTGTGCCATCTCAGTTTTATTCATATAAATACATTTGAAATGTGTAGACACCATCCATCCAAAGTTAAGCAATTGAAGCTGCAATCCAATGCACACTGATTTGGCAATAGTCTCACGGTGGTCTTTGTTTATTAATAAAAGGGTGTCAAGCCTCAACTGATTTCACTGAGAAAATTAAGTGAATATTTAAATCTCACCTACTGAGAATGAATGAAAAAGAAATAGACTTAACCCTGGATGGATTGTGCCTTTTGTGTGTACATAAAAATTGGTTCTTTTTGCAATTGACATGTTTTCTAAAAACAAATGACTTTAAACTATTTTTTTACATATTTTTTAGCATGGCAAACGTCTTCAAACGAGTACATATTTTAATGACACAATTTTCAGCTGTATTAAAATATTTCTGTAAAACAAGAGATGTCCATGTAATGTTTGAACTTATTCTGCAAATCAGAAAGTGTTTGATTCTCAAAGATGCCATTTTTGCCAGGCAGAAGATTTATGAAGTAAAGTAATAATAATTAGTTCAAATTTATTTGTAACTCCCCAGAATCTCTACTCTTTTTACTAGTACTACTATTACTATTGTTGTTATTATTATATTAGCAATGTTTTTCATTCTGGCTGCACTGTTATTGTTTAGTGTTAATGCATAGTTCTAGGCTGAAACGGAATGGCTTTTTCTGTTCAACTATTAAGAGAATTATGTGTAGCCAATACAAACTGGTGCCACTGAAGTTAAGGGCAATTCCTGTGCAAGCTCTTATGCCAATATATTTTCAGTTCTAGACAATCTGAAAAAATAAACTGAATAAAGCTGCATTATTTTATGAGCTGAAATCTATTTCTATGCACGTTACACTTTTAACAACAACTTCTACAAACAGAGATACTCGTGTGAGTGCACCAGAGAATTGTTGTTTCTTTCTTTTTTTTGAGAATCTGAGTATAAACTGTATATTTGTGCGCATTTGCATAGAATCCATATTTTGATCCTTTAACTTTGTTCTTTCAGTTATTAATATGGACAAATGTTTAAGATTTTGTGATGGATTCTTTTACATTTTAGAAGGAAGCACCAACTAGTTACAATGCTCAGAAGAGGTTGTGCTGGAGCAATTGATATTCAGGGAATATTGTGATGTCCCTGAATTGCGTAGATACTTTGTGCAATACAATAAAGAATAAATGTGTAAAATCATGCTTGTGACTGCTTTATATATGGTGAAGGAGTAGATTATTTCAAAACGTGGCTGAATATCATTTAACACATATTCCCATTACATATTTCTAGCTATTAGTGGTAGTGCTATGACTTTAACCAGGTTAAGCATGTTGTATGAACACAGACAGTGGATCTCTGTGTCATGAGCAGCATACACTAGTGTTATAATTAAAATTAAATAGAATCTGCTTTTTTATTGCAATTCAGATCTCCCCACTCCCTTGAGTGTTTCAGTTAGTGTATGGAGCACTTGTGTCATCCTGTTATATCAGCTATAGGGTATACAGATCTGTATACATGTAGAAGTGGATGTGTAAATCTGATTCCTCTATACTTGTAATTTTTTTCTCATTTAAGTTATTAAAGTAAGAGCATACTTTATTTCTTAAAAATCTGCTGTAAAGTTATTTGCCTTAATTATTTATCTTCACAAAGCTAGATTTTCATGCTATTTTAACAAAGATAGAGTGGCCCAATTTCTTGCAACACTTGTTACCTCTGCAATGTTGATCATTAAGATTTTGCCAAAGTTGGAGCAATTAAGGAATTCTACCTAATGAGATTTCTGATGCATGTGATAGATGAATGCAATGATACTGGGCATCAAATCAAGAACAATAGTGGAGCTTTTACATTACATAATTGTAACCTTCCAAAACCTAGTGCCCTGCAGATGTGATTAGCTTTGACTCCCCATAATTCCCAGCCTAAAAATAACACCCCTTGTTTGACCTGGAACATTATTAAGCTTCTAAATCTCACAACAGGCTTCGTTCCCAATCTGATGGTATTAAAGGACAGAACATCACTTTTAAAAGATGCATTGCATCTAGTTTAGATATGGTTCCCCCCCCCCCTTCTATTTAGTGGTTACATTCACACTATTTACTTACTTATTATTAATCAAATTTGTATAGCTGCCCATCTCACAGAAAAATGACTCTGGGTGGCTTACAACAATCCAATAAAAACAGCATATACATAAACAATATAAAAATATAAAAATCAATATTAAAAGATAAATATGATAAAAATATACAAACCCTAGGCAAGAGAGAATAAGGCTAGCTAACTCAACAATGGAGCCATCTAAGCATGTCTCCAGTTCCCTGAGAGCCCCAGGCCTAGTGACACAGGACTTGAGTGACTTCCAGAAAGTCAAAAGGAATGGAGCTAATTGAATATTGGGGGGAAGAATGTTCCACAAGACGGGTGCCATAGCAGAGAAGGTCTGATGCCTGGGACCCACCAAATGGATCAATTAAAAGATGTAGCAAGACTCTGTACTCCACATGCTAAGTTTGGTTGGTCCTGAATTTGTTGTGTCTTAGAATCTTGAGTGAATCAAGTCCATTTGGCTAGTTTACTAACCCAGGAAATGAGTTAATTAAGTATTAGGTTAAGTGTTTTGCATGAATATAGCCAAAGGTTCACCTAGCAAGCTAAGCTGCAGAAAAACTAACCAAATTTTCAAAGTAACAAAATGTAGTATATTGTATCACTGTACGTCAACTGCTATAATTTTAACCACATTAAGCATGTTGTATGAACACAGATAATGGATCTGATTTCCAAGGAGAAGAAAGCAAAGCCCAAACAATTTGAAAGCACAGATGAACTCAATAAGTGTGAACTTTCTACCTTTCTGTCAAGTCAGCAAATACATACTAGAAGTGTGTGGATTGGGGAGGGGGTCTGTGGGAATGGTTTCATCTTTGGCAGGACCAGACACTCTTTACTCAGAGTAGCTGTAGTGCAGTCAGAAAATACATTTTTCCAAGACCTGCACTGACCAGAAGTCTGATATTTTTGGCTGCACAAAACTTTACAAGTTTGAAGCAGTCTCTTATGTTACCTTTAAGAAAGTGCTATTCTTTGGAAAGGAATCTCCCACTAGGGAAATATATCAGGTGATCTTCCAATTAAGATAATACCTTTCTGGATTTTGTGTTCTTTAATTATTCCCCTTGCCACTCTGCTGGACTGGGAAGACTTTTTGTTTAAATAGCAACGGCTTCTACCTGAGCTCATCAAATCAGAATGCTGACTTTATGAGAACCTGGCTATTTTCACAGCAGTAGACCACTCAGGAGACAGTGCACGAAAGAAAGGAGAAAAAGCCGTTCTGAAATGCACGACAGAGGCAAGCTTTCTGATATGGCTTCTTTTCCAATACATATGTTTTGAAGTTTTCTGGCATGAAATAAGGAGTGTGATCCAAGATATGTATGCACTGTTATGTCCCACTGGTATCACACAAACAGTTAAATATATACTTAAATGCATTTCAGTGGAATTGGTGATACTTTAAAGTAATTGATTTTCACCAATTCTATCTTCTTTTAACTTCAGGGTAAAATAGATTGTGGATTTGGTACAAAGCAGGTTTCTGTGTAGGCTGATCAGGAAAAAAAAACATTTGCCAGAGAAGGATATACCCTTATTAAGACAAACCATCACATTGTAAAGTTAGGAGCAAGATCACAAGTTCTGCAGAAATCTTGTTCTCAGTGATCAGTCTAAAGTGTTATATTTCTCTGTCATATGATGAACTGCACTATTTCAATATAAGAAATTGCAACTGCTAAGAATTTAGAGAGTTGTAGTACCAAAACAGTTGAAGCATACCAGTTTGGTTGTCCAAACACATAATCAGAAGCAATTGCCATAAATACAACTGTGAGTTTTAAATTGGAATTTAAGTTACCTTCTTTAGCATCCTGGCAGTATTTAAGCTTCAGTGCCGAACTTGGCCCTGAGGCTCAGGTTGCATTGGAAATCCCTGATGCCTTCTCCATCTTAAAATTAATAAATAAGCTTAATCAGGCCCATACAGAGTGCTGCACAAATCTTTCTACAGCTTAAGTAGAAAAGAGCTGAAGCTGGACTATACATTCTTCATGGCAGTGGAATTCTATTTTAATCTAATAAATTATTCTCATTGGACCTAGATTATGCATAATTTGAAATAATTGCTTTGCATGCTCACTGGACCTTTGACCGATATCATCAACTTGGATTTACAGATCTTGCTGGAGATGGACTGCACCTGGAGTACCTTTAATTGATATGTTATGGTTTTGTCCTGTCTTTACCCTATTCTGGCAAGAAGTAAAGCAATAAATTATCTTTGTCCTTGACTCAGCCTTAAAAATGGTCAGCCCTCAATTTGATCCTCAGCACATTCCATCAAAAACAGGAGGTTACAACAACATACTCATAATGACAGGTTTATGGACTGCAATGGGAGTTAAGATGAATTGTTCCTTAGTGAAAGAAGCATTGATCCAATGGTCTTTGAAACTTTGAACAAGGATCTTTTAAACTTGCAGTCAAAAAACAAATAGCATTACATAGCATGCTGTTAGCACATTTAATATTATCTCGTCTAAATTTTTGAATATGGTTAAGTCACAGTTCTCTGTGTTCTTCTCAATTCTTGCCTTGCTTCCATTCTTTCCTTCTCTTTCCACTTATATTTCCCATTTTAACTCTTTAATTGGGTCAACAGACATTATAGATAAGGCTATATGTGATATTTGGGAAGTGATTTTGGCCGAACATCTGTTTTATATTGTTATATAAATTACAACATCAACATAATTTCTTTAAAAACATCATATAGTGGTTTGGATTTTCTGCAGATGATATAGATGTTTAAAGAAGTGAGGGACAGTCAGTATTTTCACATGCCTACTATTGTTGGATTGGTTCAAAACAGGGTCTGGGCCCAGGAAGAATAGGGCAAAGATGCTTAGAAATCCTCTAAGACTGGCCAGGGATGCTAAATGCTGCCCCTTCATGCTGTAATACACTGAAAGCCTTTCCTCACATGCAACTAACTGTGGTACAAACATCCTCTACCAACTTTTTGTTGCTGCTGCTGCTGCTGTGTCCTCATGACATTTCCTTCACCAGATCTCCAGCCCATACATGAAGAGCTTTAAATCATCCGTAGTTCTACCACTGTTAAATTAGTGTTTTCTCCTTATTCCAACACAGGCTTTTCCTTTGGATACAATCAGATGCACTACACCAGCCATTCTCTCAATTACCCAGTCAGGTGACTCCTTGGGGTGAGATCCGCACAGTTTCCATACCCCTCCCATCCCTGGGCATTATTCTTCCAAACTGGGAAGAACTGATGTGAGGTTGGAATCTTGGATTAGCCTAAACAGCAGCTGAGCGGCAGTGGCAGTTGCATGATGAAGCCGGAGAAGGAGTCCAGATTCTCTTCCTGCTCCTTCACGGCGAACCCCGCCTGTGCCTGTCAATTATTTTTTAGACTGCTTTTGAACATGACTTTGGTACTTTTCAGGAGCAGTGTTAAGCCTATATTTAAAAGGAGCCCAATGATCAGATAATGGAACTTCCTTTGAATGCATTGACAAAAAATACTGCAAAACCAGAACAAGTTTTGAAAGATTATTAAACCAGCCAGCCTAGTCATCTGTTAAAACTCATCTCCTCCGCCAAGCGCAGTCACATCTCACATGTATTAGAGTGATTAGTAGATGTTTTCCAGCTGACTGTTGATATTTGGTGGGAGGGCAGGGAAACAAAGCTGGGGGAATCCACCCAACCCTGTCCTTAATGTGTCTTGTTCACTGTGTCTGTAATGTAATATCAGATAAAGATCGCCAGTGGGAACAGCAGATTTTATACTAGTAGTTTTCTGCTGGCTCAAGACCTGGTGGATAGTAGTAACTGACCATGAGAAAAAGTTAATTGATAGAGAAAGAGAAGTTCAACACCCTTTCTGAAACTGAATACTGGTCTTTAGTATCTTGAGAACAGAACTGCTGAGAAGGGAGGCACCCAAGTAAGCTGAGCTAATATGTAAAGTGTGGATAAAGGGAAGGAGACAAAGAGCTGGTGCTGAAAAGTAAAAGATCTTTTCATACGATTATCTTTCTCTTTTCAGTGCTATTGGCTTCCCTTTCAAATTTAATTAATAATTTAATATTGGTTATCTTTGCCTACCCCCCATTAAAAACACTTCAGGATCTGTGATATTACACAGTTGTAGGTCGAAATATGATTCTTGCATGTCAAAATATGAAATAATCTTAATCAAAACCATAATGTGTTTTATGCATCAGCTAAAGGCCCATTACTTTATATAGGCCGTTTTATATTAAACTTTGATAAGCTAGTTAATTAATATGCATTTACTCACATGGTTTATGAATAATTATATTATTCATATCTAAATTTATGACATAAAATTATGT